ATACTATGGATAATTTGTTTCGTCATCTATAGCCAAATCCTCAAAATTTTAAATCAGATACACCTGTACCAAGCGTGTCTTGAAAAGTTCTTCTGAAACTGAGCTTACAACAATTTTTGATTGATTGATTGATTGTACGTATGTTGTTTAACGCGTCCCTCTCGAGAATTTTTCACTCATATGGACACGCCACCACTTGCCGGTGGAGAGCTACAAATTTTGTCCTATATACTCGGCACTCAGGGCCATTGATCAAGGAGGGATCTCTTTTGTGCCAGCATCTACTGCTACACGGGATCTCGGTTTATACGGTCTCATCCGAAGGACCGGTCTCCACGTCCAACAGTTGGATTCGAACCCGCGATTTAAGGATCGACTCTTTACTTCGCGACTCTAGAGTAGACGCTCTAACAATGTTTGAAGAGTAAAGTCAAGTTAGGTTTAAGAAAAGACCAATATCAGAAAAAGTTGGTGCATTTGGAACGCTCTCAATCATTAATATATAAAGATATTGAAACTGTTCGGGTTTTTCTCGGACATTCCTTGTTTATGTTGAATAAAACATTTGAATTATTTCTTTGAAACTGCGCTAAACGCAAAGTGTGAAGGAATGACGGAATGGTATTTGGACTAAATCACATGATCCTGCCGGGGCATTTAAAATTTTATCCAAATGATTTGTGGCAGCAAAAATCAATGAAAGTATATCAATGGCATACCAGTTATACATGTAAATACATACACGTATATTTGCAATTTGGGAAGGAAAGGTAAAGGGTTAGACTAAGGAACATTCTTCCTGTTTTCTCCTCGTTCTCAGTTTTTGAAAGGAATAGAACAAAATAATGAAGTCTACTACTAAAACCAAAATTCCAGAAGTTTGGTTTATGTACATTTTTTAAAGTAAGTTATTTGTCCCCATGGTAAAGAAGAAAATGCTTATGTACACTCTTAAAGCACTTTGAAAAAAATGCATTGATTTGATTGAATTTTTCAAAGTTCCTTGATTTTGTCCCAGTTTAACGCACTTTGGAAAAAAAAAATCTAAAGTGCTTTTATTGTTTCAAAGTGTTTTGACACAGCCCACCCGAGCAGCAGTTAAACTAGAATCTGCTGGAGAAGACAATTTTTTCTGAATTATTTCCACCTTGAATAAAGGAGTGGCTCTCCTATATAACAAACATTAATTGTCTTTCCAGGGAAATGTAATGTGGCAAATGTGATCTAAATTGGTCCATTAACTCTTACGAAGTTAAGATGCTAAAAATTATTAAGTAAAGCTCACTTGATAAAAAAAACTTGCACTAATGCGCAGATCTTCATTTGGCAGACTCTTTATATCGAGTGTTCATTAAGATTCTCTGCAATCGAGGAGACAAACGATCTGCTTTCATTTCAAATTATGAAATGCACCAAGTATTTGAGCAATCAATCCTTTTACCACTGTTAAGAGATATTTTGTTTGAGATTCTTCCCTTAACACTAACATACAAGTAGGTTAAACAATAATAAAAAAAAAATCAACTAAAAATTGGTTTCAGTATTCTGGTGTCATGGAGGAGCTGGCATCATTTGTCGACTGGTCACATCAGCAGTTAGTTTCTTGTCAAGATGGGGAAAATCTGGAAAATCCGTACTTAATTTCATATGCAATACTGGCCTAACTATTAGTATGAAAAACAGCCGTCAGCAATTGACTTAATGATAGATTGTATATGTATTTGCTGACAAGGTCATTGTATCGATAATAGAACTTGCAAAATGATTACTTTAAACGAGATTGCTGATATTTTTGTTTCATCGACTTGTTTCTGCACCCAGAACGTGCTCTTGCGTATCGAATCAACTGAGAAATTTAAAACCCATATGCAGGCTATAATGATATATTGCTGCATTGGTAAGGAGGGTGGATGATTGAAAAGTAACCTAAAAGCTGATCTTTTAGTTACCATGGATAATTTTTATATTAATAATATTTAGTATTGGTATGGAAATCTTTATCTGAAGTGATGAAAAATTGTACGTTTTGAAGCGAATGATATTTGGCAAAGTTTCTTCTTAATATCCATTTTCAAAAGAATCCTTGGAATTTTCAAGAAACCTCAAATGATTAACTCTACGTCTTGTATATACTTGTTGAGATTCTACCTCACTGACTACACTAATAAGAGAAGTAAAGAAAGAGCATTTAATACATGGATCTAGAAATACTGAGTGTGATTCTGCTTGTAAGGAGTTTATTGAGTTTATAAAACTACGTATATGCACTATATAATAATGGTACTTCAAATTGAATTTCGTTTTTTGAGAATACTGTAAACGTATTACATTTGGCTGTATATTCTTGTTAGCGCTTTTGGCGGAAATCAATCTCAAGTACAACGCTAAATGCCTCGCACATATGAGAAAGAGCATTAAGATATATGCGCTAAAACAAATCCACGCTAACCTGTTCAAAATCCAAATTCCGCCGAACATCGTACGCACTAAATATAATACATTTACAGAAATCAAAAACGTTTAAAGCGATTTGCGATTTTTAATAAAAATACCTCCCGAGACTGAGTTGTATTTCAAATTACATGTAAGATAACAAGATCCAAACTACTCTATTATAATTGAAATAATTTTAATAAATTTTATCAAATTAGTGCTGTTACCAATAAAATACTTCAGACTTAGTTCCGCGTCGTGTTCAAATTTCGTAAAACAGAGCGAACATAAGACTTTTTATTTTAATAAGATTGTCTTAGTAACGTTTGCCTAGCTGGATCAATACATTTTATCATGTAAACTATCTATTCTTTTTCACGTCAAAATTACTCATGAAAAATAAATTATTTTCATATTGCCAATCAAACGTTTTTAAAATAAGATTTCAGCCTTCATTATTACCAAAAGTCACAATGTTCATAAAAAACTGACCCATGGTCTTCAGAACTCATAATATATGTATATACATCTTTTTCAAAACATTAGATAGGTGATAAAGAAGTTTTTTTTTTATCAAAGTAGATAAGTGATAATTGTTCTTATTGAATATTGTCACTATCGTTACCTCACCCATATAGGCCAGGGGCCCATTTTACAAAAGAACTTACAACTAAGACCAAAATTTCATTCTGCTGATAACTTTCTAATTTACTTTGAATTGAAAAAAAAATTTAATACTTTTAAATGGAGTATAGAAAGATAGTTTTACACTAGCAGTTTTAAACAGAATCGTTCGTTAAACAGAACTTTACAGTCAACGTAAGATTTACGTCTTAGTCGTAAGTTCTTTTTGTAAAACGAACCCCAGGACTCTAATCATAATTATATAATTGAGAGAACAGGTCAAACACGAAAAAGAATTTTGGAGTAGATGTTCGAAATCTATTACTAAAGATATTGTAGATTATTTTGCACCGACACCCGACCTTTTTCTACACATAATGTGCACTGATGTGGACAACAGCCTTGTTGATTTACAGGGTATTGTTTTTAAGGGAAAATGTGTAAGGTCAAGTGTCTGTTTTTGTGATTAAAAATGTGAAAGCAATGTCAAAGATATTTGAAAGAATTTCGAAGTTCAAGGTACATCAAAAATCGGGTCCTTATGTGATTAAGAATAACGCTGATGTTTTCAGAGTCAATTCCTTTTTTCAAGTTTCAGGAACTTAATGATTCCTTGAAAATGATTGTCAAAGGAATAGGGAAATTCTTGGAAAAAGTAAATCTCGAGTTTTTTTGTATATTAGATTTATGATAAGACTTGGCATACGTCTGAGTGTTTTCTGTGAAAAATGCTTATCCCATTCACGTTTTGAAACTGTTCATGTGGACTTAAGAAAACTGTCTACAATGTCATAACAACAACAGGGAAAAGAAGTTCTTTGCCTGTGTACCTTCCCGTTGTTTTCTGAAAATACGCTTAGGGATAGACCTTCAGTTTTAATGTCCAGAAAAATTTTAAACAATAATATGCACTCTTTGGTTGTTAGTCTGGGAATACACATTGCAGCTGTTGCAGAAAAAAATCATTTAATTTATGCAGAACTCGCTTAAACGGATGATGTGATTTTTTGTGCAATAGATGCAACGTTAATTCCCAAACTGACAAAATAAGACATTTTATTGTATATATTATAAACATGAAAATTAGAATCTAAAGTAGGATTCAGAGTATCAATAAAAATTGAGTTAATGCTATGAAAATCATTGTATATTCCAATAATGGAAAAAGGCAATGTTCAAGAAATAAGAGTAACAGCTAGGTGATATATACATGTACATGTACTTAATGTTGTTTACTGCCAAACGGTAATAGTTTACTTAATAAATACAAATGTAACGGAGAACACTTTCAGTGGATGTAAATATAGTTATGTACTTTGACAGCAAATACAATTTATCTTTGAGTGAAATTCTGACTGCTGTTTTCATACTACTTATCAGTCCATCATTTACACTCTGAATTGATGACGAATTTTTCCGTTATATCCCAATCATCACAAGGAGCACAAAGGCGGTTGTAATCGGTCAGCAGGGGATGCTCACTCCTCCATGGTACCTGATCCCACCTCTGATGTGTTTGGAGGTTTTTGTTTGCTCTGCTCCTATTTTTGTATTGTTTTATGAACCTTTGATCTTGAATACTTTACATTATCTCCATATATTTCATCCAAATTAAAATCACAATGGGTATATTTCGTAGACAACATTGGATTTGCAGTTAACGTTTTCAAAACTTTTTGTATAGCAACTTTTTCCAAGCCAGATGAATAATAAACTGTTTGTAATTATATGTTTTGCAGTTAAGGGCAGAAGTAGAATATAAAAAGGATACACAAATACTTTGTATTCATAGATATTTTTGCCTAAGGTAATATTTACCCTTTCACTTTAAATTTGCCCTTTTTATGATCAGACGAAATTATGATAAGAAAGAAATTTTGCTGTCTTCTTTCAATTTCCCTCATTATCTACCAAAGGGTAAAGTGAAATATAAAGAAATACAATAACATATGTTTAAATTTTATTTTCATGAACACAAATACATAAAAAACTAATTGAAAATCAAAACATATAAAAACAAACATGTATGAAACAAAGCAGCATTGGATTTTCTGTTTAATCCATTAAAATTTCGGTATCTCTCTTGGAATGAAGCAACAATGAGTGTTCATTACAAAATGGTCGTTCGTGAGAGACATATCTGGAATAAGGGATTCCAGTTCAGAATTTGAAACCAAAACATGAATTTGTGGGATCCAAGGTTTTCGTTCCTTTCTAAAATGTCCTCTTGTAAATGTCATCCTTTTGCAACTGTTCCATCTATAGAAGAAATAACTTGCTTTAGTATTTTCAGATATTCTTACATTTCATTCATTTTCAATATTTCCACACTGTAACTCCTGTTATGTTTTTTACGAAGAACATAGTTTATTATACCAGATGTTTTTATTCTAATATTGATAGATAAGGTATATTACAAATAATCAAAGAAGATTGTACTAACTTTAATGTTTACTGCAGTGAAATGATATTTTTATGATTAATGACTAAAACTACAGAATTCTTGTAGGCATCTTCATTAGTTTTAGAAATCTTTTTATATCACCTAAACTAATATTTTAATTTTATTATGACTATTACTATTTTTATGATTATTATCATTGTTATGCCTGCATATTTTTGAGCTAATACTTCAAGTTAAAATAATCTTATATCTATTAAAATTAATATTAATGTTTTTTTTTTTTAAAGATTTACTTTGCAGATAAGAATTCTTTTGTAAAGATATACATGTAAATTATCGATTGACATATTGAATTTGATTAGTATGAATTTAAATTAAAGATTTTGTTCTATGAGTGTACCGTTAAACAGCATTAATAAGATTTTATGACAATTTACTTTAAAAATCACTGAATATTGAATATTGATATCACATTTATCCATTTACTTGTATTTTTATAATCATGATAATATCTTACTTGAATGTGTGTTTGCAGCAGCAGCAGCATTAGCATAAGCACCAACAAGTGCATCCAGTTCACCCAGGCTTTCTTCCATGACGTCATCCTCCACGTCATCCATTTCGTCACCCTCTTCAATTTTACCCCCGTCCCCATGGGACAAAGAGAGTATCCTTTCCCTAACTGATTCATCAGCACTTTTTTCAAGTTCTTCTTTGGCCGCAAAATATCTCAAAAAAGTCATCGTAGATTTGTATCCTTGCTGTTAATGTAAGTAAAGTATGATTTAATGGACCAAATAATTATCGAAAAAATCTTTGCAAAAAAAGTATAAATAATTTACTTGAACAGCGAATAGTCTGTCATCCTCTTCCAGCACGAAGTCTGAGGTCCCCACATGGCCAGTGTTGATTCCGACCGTTCTATCTAAATCCTGATCCTGTTAATGAGAAGCATTAATTAATAATCATCCATTTAGCTAATTATTTTGTTAAAATTCAAACATCCAAGAGACTGAAATTTTGATGTACTGATAAAAAAAAAATAATAATTTTGAAGAATGTTACCATATTTGAGGGTAAAGGATTGATATAAATGTTGTTAAACAATATGTTATTTTCTATAACACAATTAAAAAAAAAATTTACAATCATTCGACTTTTTAATTGCTAAAACTAATTTAATACGAATTTCGTTTTTTTAAAATAATCATCGCTACTTTTGCATTCTTCCAAATTATTTACTATTTCTAAATAGTATTGCTTAAAGAATACAAATCGGTGAAGAAGACCTGAAATAATTTACCTCTTTGTCTATATACTTACGTTGACAAAGGCACGTTTAACGTTTGTTAACAAAGCGTTCTGTAGCGTGTCAAAAAATTCAAAAATTCCATTAATGTCCCTCCTCTGGTAACCTAGGAAACGCTGCTGGAGGCTGATCCCTGTCCCTTGGATGAAATTGATCAACTCATTGAAATTAATCTAAAATATAAAAATGGCAATCAACTTAATTATCTTTATTTTGCTTCATTAGCGTGCTTCAATGTGTGTTAATACTTATATATGCATGAAAGTACACAGATAATGATGACGTAGAAAAACTTGCGCGCTTTCTAGCTATTTAAAAATTCAGGTAATGTATGTTTTTTGCACACGGCCCATCTAGCGTCAATTCAGTGAATGATCGTTGGTTTTGCATTGGTGATTGTTGGTTTTGCATCGGAGTCTGTTGATTTTGCAAACGAGTCTGTTGATTCTGTTTTTAAGGTTGTCTGTTTTGTATTTTATTATGTTTATAAAAGTAGTAGTTAGTTTTGCATTAACGTCTTTTTTACCCTCTCCACCGCCCATAAATTAGCCTTGAAAAATGAACATCTCTCTACAAATCAGCAGAATTTGGGGTTTACTTACCCTTGCATTTCCTCTCATGTGGATGATAAAAGCATGAAGAGATTCAATTTTATTATCAAGCCCAATTATAGTTTCATGCAGAAGAAATTCATTTATCGTATTTCTTTAAGGTAATTCCACACTCCTATGATGTCATAGGTTTTTGCAAAAACTGTAATTAGTTTAAATTCACACCTTATAGAAAAATATCTCTTGGAAGAATGCTTTACAATAGGTGTAATGATAAATATTGTTTAGTTAAAGAATTCAAAAATGCATATTTTCTATATTTAATCAATTATTCAATCTTTAAATAATGTTTACAAGGGCAATAACTCCTTCTAAGGTCTCTTCATTCAGGCATTTGCTTTTCTGTAAAATAGTTTACCTGATATTCACAATTCAAAAGTATCTTTTAAATAGGAAGTACTTAGGAACACTCAGCATCAGAATTATGCATATTAACCAGTTTTTGCATATTTTCATCAATACTTTTAACAAAAAAAAATGTACAATTTTTTGATGTTGACATACACTTCTGTTTATTTATGCTTTGCATCTTAAATAATATGGTGACCTATACATTTTTTTTGCAATAAATGGAAAGTTTAAAGTATATTGAATGAAAATATATGCAGTTTTTGTACTTTGAACCTATAAAATTGTGAGTGTGGAAATTCCTTAACACAGCTGAAAATTCAATGATTAAATAAATAGATTCACTGAGTTAAACTATAAATTAATGTTGCACAATGTCGGATAGTAATTCAAACAGACATTTATAACATACCTCTCCATTTCCATCCTTGTCTAGAATTTCAAACGCCTTTTGAACAGTACAGTCTTTTCCAAATAACATTTCACTGCTTTTCTTGGTAAACTCTTCCTGCAAAAATTTGTTAGAATGGTATGAATTTTAAGTGTTATGTAGTTTTCATTCCATTCAAAATAGATTACATCTCAAAAACCTCTTCATTCAAAGTTGGTATAAATGTAGGCATTACAAAGGAATAATATGGAAGTTTTTTTCTCAAGTTTTGCAAAGAAAATGTGTCGTTTCATTTAGTTTAATTGTAAGATATACCCTTTGAATATGTACTTACGTCCTTAAAAGCATTTTCTAATTCTGCTCTACTAATGGTATGGTCTTTGTCCAAATTATGTTTTCTTAAAACCTAATAGAATGATAAAAATTTTTAATGAAAAAAAAATAATCAATACGGATAATGATTTGTAACTGTAGTTAGTTTTGTTGTCAATTTGTATTTTTACTCTTTGTATTTTTGAAAAAGTGGACTCTATTATTATGAAGCTTTTTTAAAAAAAATGGCTAAAACGAAGTAGACTGGCATATTTATAGATTTTACTAATGTCTGTCTGCAAAAGCATTTTTTTTTTCAATTTCAAAAGAAACATACATTTAGCATATAACACATTAACAAAAAGCAATATAACTTCCAATAAAACAGTCCTTGAACTAAGGCATAAAAAGGCAATAAAACTCAATATGTATCTCTTATTTCTTTTTCTTAATATAGACATTGATGTGTGGTCTTGTGAATTACACAGCAGCAATAATCCTTTCAATGTAGTCTTATTTTCTGACCTTCAAAAATTCATCCACGGCCATCATGACTCGTCTGTGTTCTCGTTTTGCTTTTTCTTGAACTTTTTTTCGTTCCATTTTCATTCTATTTGATTTAAAAATACAGTTCTAAAAAAACTTTCAATGGTTTTATTACTGAAAATAATAATGATTTAGTATTGTTTTTTGGTATAATCATAATTGTTTTTTTTTATTTTTCAAACCCTAATGGAAATAAGCTTAAATGTACATTTCTTTGCTTTACATGTAAGATTTCATTCCTAAAACTTTGATTTCTTTTAAATGTACAAACTGACTTTTTTGTCACAGAAGCAAAAAAAAAAATGTATTCAACAGATGTCTGTCACATTTTATAGAGCTTTCAATGTATTTTTCAATTATAAGCTTATTATTTTTTGTAGATACATGTACCTAATATCCAAGTGTTCATAACATATCAAAAGTATCTATATTTACACACTTTTTCTCTTACTCTAATACTACTTTTTTATTAATACTGGTATATTTATGTGTGAATTGTCAACTTTTTTTCTTACGTTGCTAGTTTTGTATTGGGAGATGGATCTAAATGTACACCTATTCTTTTCTCCAACATAAATCTGAACACATCTGTCTCTGAATCTGCATACTACAAAATATATAATTAATTAGGATTAATAATTAATCAAAATAAGAGTTTATCAATTTTATCTATTTGAAAACATTTTATGAGATTAAGTGATATATCTTGCAAGGAACATAAAAACAATCAATCAACACAGAATGAATCATAAGTAAATGAGCATGCGTCTTTACCTACATTGAGTTATTCGCCTGTTACATTTACATTTCATAAGAATTACTTATACATATAAATGTGACTTTAAGTGATTGGTTACGAAAATAGAAAAAAAATTCATCCTGCTAAATTTCAACAAATGATTTTATTTATTATATGGATGCTCAACTGACTTAGAAGTTTCTCAGTGTACATACATATTTACTGTAGTACTTAACCTTATTCAATATCATAAACCAGAAACAATCTACATTGATTACATATTGTAAGTTATTAAACTTATAGAGACAAATGTTATTTTTTTACTTTATGCATGCATTTTTTTTAATTTAAAATTTACAAATTTTACAGAATGAGGCTAAGTGAATTCTATTTTTAGTACCAGTAGAAAACCCAGTGTTTTCAATGGATCTTTGTACTCTCGTTTAAATCTCACTCGTCTGTCTAACAACCGAGGAAGATCATCTAATGGCTGAAGCTTCTCCAGAAAACTGTCATTGGAGTCCATAGAAAGCCACCAGCCTACAAAGACCAAAAGGAAAGTACAGACTTAACTTTCAAAAATTAAACTTAGCTAGAAATTAAACGAGCAACCATATCTGTGAGTGATTCCACTACATATTTTCACAGCAAAAATATATACATGAAATTAAGTATCAATACCATGATAAAGGTAAAGACAACAGAGAAAAAAAACTGATCTTAAAAAATCTTTGACATTAATTATGACAATTATGACAATTTGTGAAAAGAGCATAAAACAAGGACCCCTGGAAATTCCAAAGGTTGGGTCAGGTGCCTTAGGAGGAGTAAGCATCCCCTGTTGACCAGTGACATCGGCAGTCAGCTATATGTGTTGATGAGATGGACCAAACATTCCATAATCAAATTCAGCATAAAGCAACCCCATTACAAAAACATGAGAGGAGTGAAACAATGCAGCCAAAATACTAGTACGACCCAATGATACATGTATGTTGTATTTGCTAACAACGACATTACAAGGAACATAAAATTTACGAAATGCCGACTTTATATAAGGTTGTTAAAATTTGTACGCTTTTTTCTTCTATTTTTGATTAAAACAGAATAGAGATTAAAAGTTAAAATTTTAAACAAACAGTACAAAAAAACCAAACACTAACATTTACTACAGTGTATACTGAGAAGGTCCATATCACATGTTCCTGCTGAGACTCGTTCTGTTAATTTATTGTTTATGAATACATAAGTGATGTATTTAAACCTTTTAAATTCATTCATCTTTTCAACTTCGTTGATTACCAGGTATGTCAAAATCAATAAAGACTAGGGGACAACAAATTACAATCGACATTTTTTTTTTCTTTATATCTGGCAAATTTAAAATCAATTTTCCGTATATTATCAAATGTTTTGGGCTTGGTATTTTACTTATGATGTTGCCTTCGACCAATACACTGTACCATTTAAACCGCATGATTCGCTTTCCACAATCATTTAAAAATTACAGAAAAACCCATATTTTACTCTAGCTTGACGAATTAATTATATGTCTGTACATCAATTTATCATTTAAATTTTAATAGCTTTGTTTTTTTAAAATGTTATGTTCCATCATTGTCAATTCAATTCAAACAAAAGAAAGGAATGTTAACACAGACGAGGGTACGGCGAATGTTTGAAAATAAACATTTTAAAGGCAATTTTTAACTAGAAGACAAAATATTGTCAATTTGATTTTTTTCACTATGATAATCATACATTGGCTTCCAATATCAAGTCTTCGAACAAAATCTCATCTTTTAATGTTTCATAATTTGAAGAATTATTTCTGTTCAAAGTCTTAGAAGTTGCAAAACATTTCATTATGTTCTTGACTGTAGCCGTCTTTTAATCTTGTTTTCATGATTATAGGCTGTTAATTATTTAATTTTCTCTCTAGTTAGTGTATGAAGTGAATCCAAAATAGTTTGAATAATTATTTGTTCTCAGCTTTCTTATTCTCCTGAGAATTCTTTGATGTGCAAATTCAGATACTAGTACTCAACAGATTCTTACATAATCTTTACAAGTATTAAACATCAAAGATATTTGTTGAATGAATGCGTGAAAGAAAAAAAAAAGAATTCGTAAATGTAATGTTTATATTTCTTTCTTTAATTTGTATAAGATGCAACCTTGTGAAATTTTTTATTCATTGATTTAAAAGGATATGTACATCTGAGGAATTCTTTGTTTGTATAAAAGTATCTAATTTGAAATTTTGAATATGTTTTATTACAAAGGTGAGTGAAGGTGCATGGGTTCATGTAACGTTACAGTTTAACAATCACCGTTTTTATGATCGTATCAAATTAAAAAAAAAACAGTTATACATTTTTTTTTCTTTCAAATGAACTACCTGAACATTTTAATAAAATCACAACTCTGAAAAAGAAATTCGTCATATCTAAGAATTGGTCGCACACAGAGAACTAAAGCCCCAAGATTCGAAGTTCATTTGGCGCTGTAATTAATATTTAATGTTACAACTCGCTTCATTAAACCAAACATTTATTTTTATTACATACATCATAGAAAAGTAGAGTCCTTCTAGTCCAGGTCTGCTTCAAAGGCTGATAGCTTTTGTCTCAGTTAAAATTTCTCAGAGTGAATTTTAATATGCATTTAATATGAAAAGGTAGCTTACATAGCATGATTATTTAACTATAGATATGCCCTTGAAAACAGGACGCGCGAATTCAATAAAAAATAATTCTAAGACATTATCAATCAACCTGTCAATTGATTTTTCTTTTCTATGCCCCTAAAATCGAAGGTAGTTTTTGATGGTTCTTCCGTTTCTTTTTGTCTTACCGGTGATCTGTTTGCAAATATATCAAACATGGTCATACCGGTAACTTTTGAAAAAAAGGATTGGTGCTAGCTAGGGCTTTAATATTTTACATATCTATGTGTTCCTTTTGGTTAGACTTGTTTGTTGTGCCAACAAATAGCAGATGAGTATCATTATGCATGTTTTAGAATCCTTTTTTCTTAGAATGCAAAAAAATATGTACCTAGTAAATATTGCAATAGACCAAAGGTTTACAAATTCTCAGAATGTGCTGTCAACTGCTGACTCCTAGATGTGGATTATTTAAACTATGCAGCTACTTAGATAAAGAATATGAACAAGCCTCTTCTCCATAAACAATTTTGTTGTCTACTTTATAATTTGAATGAAATATTTTCGTCATTCCATGTGTATCTTATATATAGTTTCGGTATATATTATATATAGAACCTCGTGGACTGTTAATTGGTTTTAGTAAATGAGTGAAGGATATGGACATAATAAACAATATTCAATCTTAAAGTCCATAAAACAATACAAAATAGGAGCAGAGCAAACACGGACCTCTAAATCATTAGAGGTGGGATCAGGTGCAATGGAGGAGTAAGCTTGAACTTTACTTTTACTCTAGTCCCACTTTAACAGAACTTTAACCTTGGTCAAAAGTTTAAACGTTTTTGAATTTCACAAGTGTAAAATGTATTTGAACTGAACAATTATTTCTTCAAGTGTTAGGTTATTTTTCTTTTTGATCATGACCTTGCAGTTTAGCTTTTTTTGAAAACTTAATTTTAACCTTGGCCATACTTTCAAAATGGTTGTTGCTACAGCTTTCAAATGTCTCGTGTGTATTCCTTATGAGAAGAGCTGTTTAAGGTCTAACATTTTTTATCTCAGTACATTGACCTTTAAGTTTGAAATTCAATAGTAAATTCTAACCTGACCTTGATCTGAGCTGCCTTAAGATTAAATTATTGTTAGTTAACTACATGTAACTGTTACATACCATCATAACAGTGTATTGGATAGTTACATATCACCCCTCCATCTACGTAAGTATTTGTTTCTCCATTGTATGTGTAATTTGTGGCTTGAAACATTCCTGTGAGAAAAGTATAGAAGTGTAAATATAATTTCAATGAAGGTCAATAACAATTGTATTTCTGAAAGAAACATAGTGTTATTTTTTTTTTTTAAATTTTGCATGTTTATTACGTTGTCATAGTCAAATACGAAAATATTTTTTGTAAGATATTTAGTATATCGGGGTATCTTCAGTAAATATATAAAAATGCTAGTAAGAGTTAGAGATAATGAACTATTTGAAATGGAATCATAAAATGAATGTACTTTTGTATAAAATAAAATAATTTTGAATAAAAGAATGAATTAAGACTTAAAAGTTTCTATTTTATTTCTAAAAATAAAAAAAAATTAAAAATCAATACTTTGAATAAAATCGAGTCTTTAGTAGACTAATTACATTTATGATACACTGAAGATCATTAGCAGTAGAAATACCTGATGATTGGTCAGATATAATATATTCTTACCTGGAATTGCCATGGACATGCGCACTGCTAATCTAATAGGCATGTCCGGTGTTGTTTTCACGTGACAATACTCTTCAGTCATGTGATTTAGATTTGTCACGACAACACAGAGTTCTTTTCCAGTTTTTTCATAAAGCTTTAAAAATAATTTTACACAATGAAAAGATCGTTTCCGTCTAATTTTTTTTAAACAAAATAATCGTCGTTTTGACTTGATAGAAAAACTATTCTCAAATACATTCTTCAAATTAGAAGATATTTTATCATTTAATGTTACTACAGTATTACATGTAGCAACTGTGAAACCATATAATTTGATGGTGATATAAAAGTAAAATTGGACAACTAGATGCATGAAATATAAAGTTAAAAACGATGATTGTACGCAAATTATCTGGATCTTTGTTAACAATTTAGAAGTTTATTTGAATTTGTTATTGTCAAATAAATAATTTTTATTGCATAAATGACTAATTACTTATCCATTTAACTTCTATTCTTTATTCAAATCAAAATAATGTTGAAAAAAAATGCAAAACGTTAAGTTACAGGTCATTTCATTATGTTATTAAAGTTGTATTCAATTACATGTATGTCAGTAGCATAGATACATGGTCCTTTCAGAACAAGTCACTTTAAAAATAAGCAATACTTAAATGATAAATGCAATCCTTAACAATCGTATAGACAGCCATAATCCGAGATTCCTCTGACTCTAACCCCTGCTTTTATATTGTGACTTGTGCAGGGGAAAGTCACAATATAAAAGCAGGGGTTAGAGTCAGAGGAATCTCAGATTAAGACAGCCTTAAACCTAACCCTAAATTGAGGCTTGTGAAATAAATATTCCTCCATTGTTTCAGTGACATATCTCCTTAACAATGGTACAGACAGCCTTAAACCTAAAGTGAGGCTTGTGAAATAAATATCCTTCTATTGTTTCAGTGCCGGATCTCGTTAACAATGGTATAGACAGCTTAAACCTTAACTGAGGCTTGTGAAATAAATATTTTTCTATTGTTTCAGAGACAGACCTCCCCAAAGGTGACGTCTTTGTTCCCCATCTTTTGTTCCATTTTCTCTCCAAACCAGTTGTATATCCTATTTCCAGGGTTCCAGCCATAGCCAGACAATAGGTTAGGCAAAAGGCTAAGAACTCCAAACTTAGCATCTGTCAAAGAGATGGTGGTTATGTGTTAAAGATATGATCAAGACAAAACATAACAAAAATGTTTAAATGACCTCAATTTATTGAAATCACATTATATGTACATTTAATTACAAACCTAGGCCTATTAGATAATATAGCCTCTTTTTGTAAATGTTACCATTAAGTTACAAAACCTGAATCTTGAATTCTTAAAGACACGCCAGGGATTTTTTTGTTTGCACAGATTATGTAATTCAACAAAGCCATGGTCACGAGCCTGCCATTCTGAATTAAAACACCTGATAAATAATGTCTTTTTTATACCTGTGCACTTAAGAGTGCAGTGTGGGGCAAGTTGGTTAGATCATCTTTCTTTCGTGCTAAGCCAATCTTACCTAGATATAGCACATCGCTATATTGTTCTCAAAAATCATTTTTATTGTGCTGTTCCAGGCACTATAGGTTTAATTTTTTTCAGTATTGAGTTAAAAAATCGCATGTTTCTGATGTACATAGCCAGATAATTTTTTCCCGCCAATTGTATACCGATTGGTATTCTGATAGTTCGTCTTACCTAGAAACATAGTGGCCATATTCTGGCTTAGGAAGCCTTGAATTTCCTTTGAGTTGAACCCCACTGCCAGCAGAGAAGCCGTCATAGCGCCAGCGCTAGCCCCGGCAAATCTCTTCACCTGATCCATTAGCTTCAACTCTTCCAAGGCCTGAATAAAAAAGATAAATTCTGAATTTCAAAGATTTCTTAATCTTCAAAAAAAATTGCACATTAGAATTGATTAATTTAACATGTGAAATCAAGATGTTAAATGAAAAAAAAAAATTAGACGAAATTGTAGACAATTGATTCTCAGGGGTACTGATCAATGCTTCCTTTCAATACAGTATATTCGCTGGAACACGGAACTTGTCTTCAACAACTCCAGCAGCGGCCAATTATTGCATGCCAAAGTTTTAATGAGCTAAACACATGTCTCATCTTCAAAACACTTCGGAACTCATTTAAAAATTCCACACTTAGTAAAATGGTGAGATAGACTGGTGAATTACTTGAATTATACATATATTGCAGACTTGTAATTACCAATATTCTAAGATTTTAAATTTTAATCCCTTGGTAATGTAATGAGAATTACATAAAAATCTTGATGGAATGTTCAATTTCTTAACTAACTCTCTTGAGACAAGGCCTCGAAAATAAGTGTTTTTTTTTCTGAAAGACTAATCCAAAGTAATGTACAGGAAATACCAGCAATTCTCTGTCAATTTGGTCCAATAACAAAGAACCATATTTGATTTGACAAAGACTTGCACAACTTTTGAACGTTAATTACATTCAGTCAGTGTCTTTTACAAATAAATGTGGTAGAAGTTTCAACAGACCGTCAATGAACGAGTAACCGCGTCACTGACGCTAGAGGTTGCGTGGGGTGGAGGGTCATCATATATTTTTTGCTCGATACGATTCTCAGATACTACCGGTATTTTGTCTAATATCTTATCATTTTTCCGTTGTATCCCGATCATGACAAGAAGCACACGGCGGGTGTGACCAATTGGCATGGGATGCTCACTCCTCCATGGCACCTGACCCCACCTCTGATGTTTTGGAGGTCCGTGTTTGCTCTGCTCCTATTTTGTATTTTTCTATAGTCCTTTGAGCGTGAATACTGTTCGTTATCTTCATATATTTCATCTCAAACTTTAAGAACTGTATTAGTGTAAAACATCAATAATTTCCTCTTTAATCCTTGAAAAGGGCATAGATACAGTTTCAGTAAAATTTTCAAATTTTTTTTCACATTTTTTACTAATATTTAACTAGGGTCTTTCTAATGATCATCAAAAATTTGAACGTCAGTTGTCGAGATACAAGATAGAGTTGTAGCTCCAAACCTTTGTTATGTAAACAAGGTCCATGTCATGTTTTTGTTTACATAGTTTAATATACTAATATATGTTTGTTCAAAGTAGATAACTTCCATTAAAAAGGTACTTTTAAGTACGATCTGACAGTTTCTATTGATTTGCTGAATTTCATTTTGTTACAAATATGATATTTTCTATATGTAAAAAAAAAAACAAGGCAAGAGCCTTGTTTACATTATGAAGAACTTGAAGTTCTGTATCTTGTTTGTTAATCAACAAATGATGTTCAAATTTTTACTAATCATTAGATGATGGCTTAGGTAGGAATAGTAAACATTACACTTGGTTTAAAAAATGGAAACTGTGTCCATGCCCCTTTAACTTCAATTCTATAAAAAGCAGGAATTAATCCCAGCATAAGTACTAATAAGTTATACGTGCAAATATTATCAACAAGATTTCTTTAACAAAATTAAAATAATCTCTGCATCTGCTACACTGATGTCTAATAGCATACTGGATTTGATGCATTCTCGATTCCTTCCTTTGGAAAAACAATGATACAATAACTGTTTGGAGACAATGTCTTTGCAAAACTTCAAGCTCATAGCATTGACGCATAAATACATGTTTATATATATACTCAGATTGAAAGCATCTATTAGATTCTTTTTCGAAGTAATAAAGGTGTTTATTTCATTCAGTCAAACCGAATCCAAGAGGATAAAAAATGTACAGATTGTTTTTCCGAAGGCACTTGTGTTTTGATTAGAAACGTCCATTGATACGATGCAACATGAAGTGAGATGTTTTTGTTTTAGAATGGAATCAATTCCACTTCTACGTGATCTATACCCTTAAATATATGCTTTACCCCCCTTTAAAATTACACTCCTACCTTTAAAAAAGGTTTTTATTTGCTGCATTAATAATTTATCTGCGTACCCTTTCTCTGTATATTTAATTTTGTCAACAGAATGAGATTTCACATCTTTCACTTTTACTTGTACGATTGTATACAGGGCATTTTTACTTTCATAAAATTTGACAAACTGTGACCTGTTTAAAAGCTGACAACAATATAAGAGGACTAGGACAGTTTATGAGTTAGATATAATCATGCTGGATGGGCGCCACAATAGCTGAATCACATATCCTGAAGGGCTGACGTTTAATGGTAGAATCGTGTCCCTCTTAATAACCAATTCTTACTTACATTAAATATACTGAAAGTTCAATATACAGGTACATGCATGCACATGAATGCTTTATAGTGTAAGGTTAATATTTTGAATTTTGACCAAAGCCTTCTGGATCCTTCAAATGATAGTGCGTCCAATTTTTTTTATATGCGCGAACAAAGATAGCGACTTCCTAAGAAGCTGAATGAAGTATGACGATAAAGAATTATAGTATTCAAGTTCCTAAGACCATTCAAACAATACAAATTAAGAGCAGAGCAAAAAACTGGACCTCTAAAACACCATTGGTGGGATCAGTGCCATGGAGGAGTGAGCATGCCTATAGGTTAAATCCGTCGTCGTGTGCTCCTTGTCATGATCGTGAAAAACGTTAAAATCCGAAGACAATACAATGTGTAAATAATGGGCTGTATATAACTTTGAAAAACGTCATTCAGCGTTTGACTTAATGTTAGATTATATGTTGAAAAGTCATTGTATCGACCATAAAGTTGCGAAATGATTACTTAAAACAAGACTTTTGATATTTCTTGTTTTATCAACATGACAATAGCTAGCTTGCCTTCTTTAGTAAATGTTGTTACGTAGAGTATGCTCTTGTGTATCATCTAGATCTGAGAGACTTTCAGGTGAAAGTGTTATATAACAACATACATTGTAGGGGAAGGTTGACGGTTGCAAATTTGAAGTGATCACGTTTATCATAAAGCTTTGCTGTTAGGTTACAGTTAGTCTAATCTTGTTCTAGTATGATATTCAAATATTACAACAGATGTGTCAGATTCTATGGTATCTTTTATAATGTCAAGCTCACTGGGATATATCAAGTCTACGTATGAACGGAAAGAACTATTGTTAATTGATGATACGTCGTCGATATTTCTAAATGTCGATTTGAATTCCACAGCATCTTTTTAAGATTTTGAATAAAATCTGTTTCATATGAATTCAAAAACAAGTCTGCTAATAAGGGGGAGCAATGTGGTATCTATATAAATAATAAATGATTTAATTTGATTTCTTAATGTAATTTGTTATAAAGGGTTGTATGAATTTTGCTTTGAAAAAAAAAATCATGAAACATTTGTATTTATAAAAATATCTACTGAATTGCGAAAGGGTGTCACAAATTCTGTATAAACTGAAGAGAAAAAACAAAATATTAAAGGAATACGTAATTCATATTTTTTTTTCAATTAGAATTTAAAAATAGATATTGAAATTTTAACTTATTTCTATACTGTCTTTTATCTTAAGTATCCATTACACATGAAAATTGATTAATTGATGAATCATTAGATAATAACTGGCAAGATGTAGAGTTATGATGCACTCTCAACCTTTATTGCTTTAATTAAGTTGCAGTTTAGCGTCTTTGCTAAGGATTTCAATTTAGATTAGAACTTGTTTAGATTACAAATTCCTTAATCAAGCATCGGGAAATATCTGCGACTTATAACATAATAATTATAGTGTCGTGGTGTAAATTTTGAATTTGAAGGGTGGCAGTAAATACAAAATTTACAACATGAGTAAATTTTGTATATACTGCCACCCGGTATAGATTCAAAATTTACAACATGACACTAGTAATACTGCAATCTAATTAAAATCAGACTTTTTTCTTAGATCCGTGCCTTATGCACGCTACACAAAATGCATATGGCGCTGATCTAAGAAGTCTGATTTTAATAATAAGATCGGTACACGTAATACTGCACAGTTTCTAAACATATAATCGCGGGTATAAAAGTTAGCCTTTTCAAAATTAATGTACATGGTGTAAAATGTGTTCTTACCCTGACGGCCCCGCAGTAGGCCAGGCCTTTATTTCCCCCTCCCTCAAACACGAGGTTCTCAAAGGGGTACGAGTGGTCTTTAGGGTTTATCTGCATGGCCTTGATTTCGATGTCGTTTAGGACGGACGGCATCTTCTTCAGTTTCCGTGTTCGATGATAGGCCCCTGAATTTAGGATTGTAAATTTTGAAATTAAAAGATATACGCACATTTAAATGTGACCGTCAAGTCAAAGATTAAAAAATAAAATATTTAATATGCTGCAACATGAGATTTTGGTTAAGTTGAACTATATCAGCTAGGGAAATCTAATAGAATTGGGTTAGTTGTTATAAAACGGGAAATGGTGGGGTGTAAGATCCATTAGAAATTAGAAAATATTTTTACAAATGATTTTTGATTGATTAGAAATAAATATACTTTTCTCAATAAGTGCAAGATAAAAAATACAATCTTTAGATTTATCTGTATATATATCTTTTGAAAATACATCAATATAAATGAATTTAATCGTCATTAGTATTGCATCCAAAGAAAAGTTACAAAATGAAGAGTATGTAACTACATTAGAACACGTCTTGGTTAATTGAATAAAATGCTGATTTGCAGTATTCATGTTATTCATACTGGCTTATTATAATGATGAATTAAACAGGAGATCAGACGTCAAAGCCACACCCAGTTTACGAATGCTATCACCTACACGATCAACAGGTGCTAAAAAAATCGATTGATTTTTCCAGGATGTTTATTTATAAATGTTCGATACATTTGTACGCTTTTGTGTTGAGATGATTTATAATTTATTTCAATTCAACTTCAATATATATCCAATATGTTTCTTCAATGGTCAATAAACCTACTGCCGCTCCTTTGAATGTAACAGGTTTTTTTCTGTTAGAATTTAAAAATTCATACCACACAGTTCTTTGAAGCATAGATCATGGGGTCAAAGAGTAAATATCATCAATAGTTAATTCAATGTACAATCATTAAAATAATTGAAATTTGGGAAGAAATGTAAACGTGTGGACAGATATAGCTACAAATGATACAATCTATTGTGTGGGGACGTCCAATAAGAGATAGAGGCATACAAGTCATATATAGTGTGTTTATTTTAGAGTCGTTTCATCCTCGCATTTCTTTACGCCCATGCAGTTAAAATGCATTTCATCAAATTTCGAAAAGTCAAGATGACAAAGCATTCGTTCTGGAATTTGAACTCTACAAGAATGAGCCTTGTGGTTTCTTGGCGACTGAATTAATTATTAATTTATCATAAAAGAAATATAAGACGTGGAATGTCCCCATACATATAGTATGGAGAGAGAGAGAGAGAGAGAGAGAGAGAGAGAGAGAGAGAGAATACTAGTGATGAAGATACAATTTATTAGGCAGGTCTATTTCAAATAAACTTATAAATACTTATATATATTAAATGTAAATCCTGCTATTTAAACGTGCGGCTGACACAATTTCACACGATATAAGGAAAAATGTGCACATGCAAGTAAATAGATTAGTTTGCTTTTTTTAAATTAAAATTTACCTCTCATTTTTACCGCAGCTGAAAATAATGGATAAGAACTTTTGAAACAAAACTTTCATAAAAAGACAATGACACGTCAGTCAATCATGGACAAACAAACATGCAGATTTTATGTCTTGATTTCTATGTGAACATCAAATTTTCCATACAATTTTAAAACGCATGGATTAGAAAAAATATTATAATTACACTTCAACTACAATTAAAATATGCAATGTTAGTATTTTTAAATGTGAAAATGCGTTAATTTTCTTTGTGTTTTAATTAATATAATCATATTAAATTGCAGAAAAAAAATCCTTAATTCCGAAAGTGTAGAAGATATTATTAATTTCATTTTTTTAATCTTATTTTTTAAAATTCTACGTACTGGTTAGATAATATACTACATCGAATAAATACAAAAGTTGTCATGGAAAGGCTAGGTGTGTTTTAGAGAGGTAAATCGTGAGTTTCAGTCACGTGACTCAGAAACCGGAAGTCAGTGGTCTTTGATCTGTGACAAAGACCAAAGGTGCAAGGAGAAAAGGTGAAACTAACATTACCTCGTAACTTAGCAACATATGCTACAAAAAGGATAAAAAGGAAACAAAAGCATGAATTTAGGCTCTGAAAACAAAGAATTGGTTTGGCATGCCGTAGCATAATTATGATGAAGATAGAAACGCATATTTCCATGTTCAGGATTACATGTAAATGTATCTTAACAAATAAATAAATGATAAAAATAAAATTTACTTATCTTATTTTTATATTTGCATTGTAACAAAATAAAATCAAAGAAAAACTAAATAGGAAGGTGCAGGACTACTTTCAAACAAAATCTACGGAAGTGATATACTCTACTTGAATAAAAAGAGAATTTTGAACTCTTAAAATCTTTAATTTGTTTTTGAAAAAATATTATTACTCATCAAGATTGCGATAAAGTAAGATCATAACTATATCTATACATGTATACCAATAATTCTTTGTGCTTGGAACCCGTTGGGAAATTGTCTCATGAATTTTAAAACACGTGCACTTCAAATTTCAAGGGTGAAAATCTATTTTACATGCATTTGAGGCCTCTTTTCAAAATCCCTTTTTTTTAATTCAATCACTTTGCCTAAAGTCTTTCTATTCATCGAAAAAAAATAAAGAAACAAATTTAAAGTGAATAAAAAGATCAACATAGAAAATTAAGCCTGAAGAACAAAACAAAAAAAAATCAAGTTTGATAAAAATTATACATGGAAATTAAACAACCTAGGTTGTTTTAATTCCTACAATATTAAGGGGAAATTTTCAAGACTAACTTTGAAGAGTTCTTTATATATATATATATATATATATATATATATATATATATATATATATATATATATATATATATATATATATATATATATATATAAATTTACTTGTCACCAGGAATAAGAAAACTGAATGGAAAGGGTTATATGTAAAGTAGATAAAAAGTCCACTATAAAAACCCAGTAATTGTAAGGTTACCTCGTATTTTAGCGTATTTTTCTGCAAAGAAATCAAATTTATAACTACGAATCCTGAACTTTACATAAATTAAAATAAGAAAGCCAATAAAAAAATATCAAGCACACAAATACAGTATTAGAATGCCCATCATTTGAATTTCGAGCATTATCAACTTCTGAAACTAAGTATAGTATAGGAAAGGGTGGTTCCAGAAAATTTCAACTTACTTGTTGTCAATATTCGGGGGGGTGGAAATTTTAAAAAAAAGTTGTTTTCTGGAGTAAAAAAAAAAAACAACATGTGAGTTGACCCAATTTTAGCAGTTGATGGAGAGAGGCAAACAAACATTTTTTTTTTTTAATGGCCTAAGATTTTTGTTTTTAAATTGCTTTAGGATAACATTTAAACACATCGGTTACAATTATTGATTATAGCTACTGAAAAAAGAAACTATTCAAATCCCTAATCACCACCGGCTTCTTTTAAATTTTTTGTTCTACATGGTTTCAGAATCAATAGAAGATTATTTTTTTGCTAGATTAAAAAACAATACATATTCTTTATCTTTTACCCTTAAAACAGTCAAAATATTTAAACATTTCAAACAAAATACTATAATACCTTTTGATATTATAATTCTTTTATGTTGAATTCGAAATTCAAATGATACACATGTACCTGCAGATTGTATTTTTTCTTTAATAATAATAATTAGAACATACCCAGTGATTCAGCATCTTAATTAGTAACGCATCGTTAATAGAATCTTTATATAGCAGTGTATTTAATAATCTTGGGAATATAACAAAATTCATAAACTTAAATTATTTAAGCATCCTAGTAGCAAAACAAGCTCACAACATACAAATTGTACAGGCGCCGTTTAATCATGACAGGGGGTCTTCAAGCAAAATGCAGCTGGATGCGTTTGAAAAAAAAACATCCAAAGGATCTTTAGCAAAAAACAACTTTGAAGCATAACTCGTGATTTGCGTTGCATTTGAAACCCATTTCTTTAATTCGATATTGATATCCTTGGTACATAAGCACTTAAAATCATATCTTTCAATGAATTTACATATGATTTATCTTATTCAAGGACAGATAAAGGTATTGTGCCCCCCCCCCCTTTTATAACTTCGATGCTAAATCATTATCGTTTTAATTCAATAAACATATTTAATTCGAAGAAATTGTGCTTAGTAATCTTTGTAATTTAAGTTACATAGAGATAAATGTAACCGCTTTGTAAACATATCTATACAAGCGTAGCAACTCTTGAAACAAAATCCCCTAAAATATTGTTCCTTCACCATTGCAAACCAACTTCAATATGCGTACAATTTATACCCTGGCACTCAAGTCATGATAAAGATTTTAAGTCAACAGTTTTTTTTATTTTTTTGTATATATAGCCTTTTCATGCGAGGATTTAAAAATGCAGCTGGAAATTTACAGAGCGTATTGAACCCAACAAAAAAAAAAACGCATCCGAAAACAGATTTGAGTTAAGTTGGTATGCAGAAAAAACAACTACATTGTACATGTTATATAGCAGCCTTCAATATGTATGGTGATTTGCGTAGCCGCTACTATGTAGAGAAACAACTATTTTCATTTGACATGTTTGATCCAATTGTTTTATATCAGTTGATAGTAAGTAACCGTAATATATGGAAGCACTGCCTTATAAAATCATGCATTGTGTCAACTTTCCATTACATTATGACATTTACATTTATACAGATTTATGTCAACTTTATTATATTATGTCAACTCTTTATGACATTTACAAACGCTACTATTGCGTTATGTCAACTTTACATTACATTTTGTCAACTCTTTATGACATTAACACACACTACTATTGCGTTATGTCAACTTTCCATTACATTATGCTAAGTCTTTATTGCATTAATCGCACTTCAATTAATTCATTGCATTATATCAGCTCTTTATGACATTTCAAAACAATTTTACGTGGTGTAAAGATGTTATTATATAATTTAAACTCATTAAATTTGTGCACTCTCTACTAGTAAGAAGTTCATTACATGACGTGAATTTATTTAATTCAATATCAAGTCGCTATAACACGATGTCAGAATTTCATATATGATGTGAAAAAAATTGTCAAATGTGGCCAATTCTTTGTATATTGTGTCATCAATATGCTACATGACGGGAATCTATTACATGATGTCAATTTTCCCTTACTTTTTGACAAATCATTATTATGTTATACCGTTGTATCTCTACATTGTGTCTAAAATATGTTTGTCAGTATATCTTAGAATATTTCACCTTTATTATGTGCAAGGTTATGCCTAAAACGTTTTGTGTTTTCAGTGCACATATGTTAAACTTGCAAATGATTTAAATTGTATCAAATATTAAATTATACACAAGACTTAATTAATCCTTAATTAAATATCAGGTTAAATTAAAAATACATGTTCAAATCATGATAAAAAATATAAAGTCAAGCTTTTTAAGTCTTTAACCCTCCTTTTTAAAAAAAAAAAAAAAAAAAAGTGTAAATATGTATTTCATACGTGCACTGGTGGGTCGGTGGGAAAAGGGAGGATCCCGCCCTATCTTTAGTGACCAAAATTTGCATGAAATTAATCAATTGATTTTACTTTGTAGGACATTGCATTAGTTTTACATAAAGTATAACTGAAATAAGTTGAAACGTTTTATTTAAAAAAATCTAAAGCCTGAGAGCTTTCGGGTGGGGCCCCCCTATAGCTACTCTTTTCAAGAACCCAAGACGCAACTGATATGAGCCCGTGTTAATCAGTGAAAAGTTATATTTTGTAACAACCCAACTAAAATGTCCGTTTTTGTACTGTTGAAAAAAATAACGTACAAGAAAAAGCGAAAAAAAAAATCCAAACTCGAAAATCCTATTTATGATCAACCAGTCCTTAAAAAAATTCCAAATATACTACATTACCCTTATACTTCAGCAAAAAGAGGGTATATAATGATAAAGTTATGTCGGAAAAAAGAATGTAATCCCATATAATGATATAATGTCTGTCTGTGTGCGGTTATCAACTTTGACATAATGTAAATGTATTTTACAGCGCGTAATGAACATTTGTAATCCTGATAAAGAATTAACACGTTTTAAATATAGGTAAACATTCAGTTTTCTGAAATATGGAAACATAATATATGTTCTCTCCATAATATATGTTCACATTATGTTATTAACCTTTTTCTTTATCAGAGAGGCTTAACATATAGATATGCTTTGTTATAAAAGAAATAAATCTAAATGTAATGATAAATTTAATCAAAAATACATAAAACATAATTTGAATTGAACTGAAAAATGACCAATTCCTTTTAAGCTTCTATATATTTTGTTTTTAGATTGCATGATATGTACTTGTAAAAGATATAACGTAAAATATTCAAATCGGTATGTTAGATTGACATAATGAATCATAGTTTTATGCCCTCTAAATAGCTAAAAGAGGGCTATATATAAATATCTTATTCCACATGCGAGTGTCTCGTAATTGTTTCGACATCTCCGTCATGAAATATAATTGCACCAAAAATGACACATTAAATCTGTATATACAAGATTTATAGAGGCATGTCAACCTATCAAATATCGTACATGTGTTAGTCTGCTTGCGGTTTTTATTTCAATTCAGTTACATAACACAAGGGCAGACTTTTTTTCCTTTATCGCTAGGTTGGTTGAAAAGATCAAAATATCTTTTTCTTTGATTCTATTCTTCCTATTAAGGAACAAAGTTTGACTCTGAAGTGACGATTTGATCTATGGGTACTAGAAAATAATTAATTTGACAAAAGTCTTGTAAAGTAAATCAAATTGTGTCTTTTGACAAACGCTTTACAAACCATGTCAATGACATGATGGACTCAGGTTTCCGAATATCAAGGTCACTTCTTTGCCTTAAGAAATCATACAGTTTAAATTTTAAAAATATATACTACAAAAAGAACGTCCAGATTTATTTATCTTATTTGTAAACTGAACCATCAAGTTTCGGTGTTAACATATCAAGAAAATGATTAGCCGTATACAAAATTAGGGGTCTTTATAATTATTCCTGAAGGATTTAAATTACACTTTTTGTATACATTAGTAATTTTTAAAATATGTTTTTATGCTGAAAGGAGAAAACATTGATGGCCTGAACATGTGTACCCGTCACGAAAGACTACACTCGATTTCTAAACAGAAAGCTTAATGTACAAAACTTACAGTCGAATGCTAAGATAAACCTTGTAATTACAAGCTTAATGGAAAAATTTAAAAACTAGCAAGCCCTGTTATTACTTCAGCCACGTAACAGTCTTACACCTTATCGGTACTGCAAACACACAGACATTTACAGAAACTACTACAAAGGAACAAAAACGGTGTCTTATTTTTACCTGTGAGGATACTAAAACAAGGTTTTTATCTCATGGGAAGATTAAATCAAAGAAAGAAAATCAAACTTGAATCTGATTACCGAATGTCTGGGCTTTCTTTAACACCTTAGAACCGACAAAAAGTTTAACACCGTGATACAAAGACAAGAACATTAAAGCTGAGAAAAAATGCCGAGATCTGCAGTTCTCTCTACATGTACCGATTTTCCAAGGACATCTAGCTGTACTCGTATTTGATTTCATATATCTTGCTATATAAAGTTGTTGGGGTAAATGTCGGTTGAACTTCAGGAAGAATCGAAAATTATGTTTGTGAGAGCCCTGTGAGTTTTTTTTAATTAAACCTTATAGCCATCCTCCCAAAACCCATTGACCACAGAAAAACCTATATACAACTGACCTTTGGCGTTGATAGCACCACTGTCCACTTCATCCAATTCCTCGTCATCGTCTAGCTTGAACTGTTCCTCTATGTATCGATTCCGGGATTCCAGGACCTCTTTTTTCCTCCTGTCCCCCGGGTCGCTCCATGTTTGGACTCCCAAAGTGTTCCCCATGGTCTTCAGCACAGAACACAACTTTCTGAAGCCCCTACGGTATTCAATGCTGTAAATTTGGTCCACAATATAAGTTAATAAAGTTATAATGGACATGAAAAAGTCATTAATTCGGAACCAGTCCATCTTGGTTGGTTCCTTTGGTGGGGGGACTTGGTAGGAATCAGCCACGGTGAATGCAAGTCTAACGATACCAAGAAAAAAAACCTCTTAAAGAGTAGAGTTCAGATCCTTAATTGTGAGATATCAATCTTCAGCTTTGAAGGGTGTTTAAAAATACCAGTTGTTACGAAGAAAATCGAATCACGTATATATACACTATTTAAGGAATAAATTCCCCTTGGTATATTCACACAGCAAGACGAATCAATATATCCCCCATATTTAACAGAAGAGCTGCCTGATACTATCACTATTCAACAAACATATCACTGTATAGAACTGTCCATTTCATTAACTGATACCGGACACACAATTCCGAAATGAGTTTCGTAATTGCAAGTGAAATAATTCTTTTTTCCCCTAAAACGGGTGCCGATTTGGAATGTAAATTAATTAAACACTCAACACCTTCACGCTAGAGAAAGCCTTATTTTCTCAATGTATACCTTACTCGTGAAGAAGAAGTTAGACCCGAGGCAATAAAACTGATTAAAATTAATCCAATAAACTTCGAATGACTTTTCCTCACGTTTTTAAATCCAAGGTATGTTTTTATTCAATTAATCTCCTTTGAATACGCGGGGCATGTCTTGCGATGTATAAAGACTACCTTATGAATAATGTTCAAAACAGTCAGTGCGGGCAAAAATAAAACCGGAAATTAATTTACATATTCATGTACACTGAGTGAAGCATGCATTGGTGGATCAAAGAGGATCTACCTGAGCAGTTTCTTTACTTGTTTCAAGATCGACAACTCTAAATCTACCACTCATTTAAGAAATTATGCACAACACTGAATACAACCGCATGTACAAAGTCATGTACAGGCACGTAGCATCGGGGGCCTCCCCCCACACTTTTTCCCCCATCATTACCTTTGAAAATGTCCATTGAAAGGTTGGTTGGCCCCCCACTTCTTACAACAGTATAGTAATATCAAGGAAATGTAGATTTGTATTGGACAAAAAAATTGAAGTGAAAGGACGTTGGCCTTGAAAAAAGTTGGCCACTACCCCCCCCCACCCACCCACCCACCCACACACACACACCTTCACGAAATAGGATTTTCGAGTTTGGGCAATTTTCCTTTTTTTTGCTTGTCAACTTTTACAGGTAAGTAAAAAAAAAATTCTCTGGTTGCCCCCCCCCCGCAACTTTCGAAAATGATGCTACGTGCCTGATGTACACATGTATACATGTAGCTTCCAGCATTTGTGAAAACTCGGGTAAATATATGTATGTTTTTATATATTCCTGTTTTGTACAATACTTTTAGTTATTGTACACTAGTTTTAAATGTACAATTCAGAATTTGTATTTCGTTTGTATGCTCTTATATGCATATACCCTCTGTGAGGCCTTGAGACATAAAGAATTCAAAGTTTCAAAGCAAGAGCATTCTAAAATATTAGTTGCAATCGTTTACGTATTAGGTATTATGTATACGAGGGCCGTTCAAAAATTACGCGGACTGTGCTATTATTTACTCTTACAGACGTCAAATAGTTATAAAATTTCATAGAAATATGTATCTTAAAGATTCCAATAAATTTTGGGCAAAATTTCTGTATTTTAACAAAATTCTACTAAAATTATCGGTATGTTGATATCGTTGATGGAGAGGTACGGCGCACGACAAAAAAAAAAAAAAAAACTGAAGCAAAAGCATGCGGATTCAAAAATTTAACTCATTGATTTTCTAAAATTCGCGATATTTTTCAACAATTTTCTCAAATGTACCTTTAAATTGTTCTATTATTATGTATTTAGAATTTGGACGTAATGTTTGAAGTACTAACAGAAATATAGTGATTTTTCTCTGATGCGATTCCCGTGAAAACGACTGTGAAAATGACGTTTCCTGAATTGACGGCGCACCAAACTTTTGTTAAAATATGTGTAATGCTCGAGATATCAGCAGCATAGATCCAAAATATGCATAATAAAACATGTAGTAAACTAGGCTACTCGTGATATTTGCCCACAAATAGCAAATTGAAATTTTAGACAGTTAGACCTCTGTAAAAAGGCTATACGGGAGGACGGGAAGAAGATTATAGACGAAAAGTTAACTTTATCCGGACTGTAAAGAGCGTGATTGAGAGTCACCAATATCACACTATATCTCATAAGTAGTTTTTGGTTAAAAAAAAAAAAGAATATTCTTTACTTGTTTTATAGATTTTAAGCTTGACAAGAAATGGTGTTTTGATGTTGAGTAGCTAAGGTAACTCAAACTATACAGGTACTCAAGGGAAAATGTTGAGAAAATGAAAGCTTATAATTACATATTTTTTATAATGCTTGTGACGTCGAAGATTTTGCTGCGCCGTGACTTAATGGTATGTCCTGAAAAATCACTCAAAATCAATACCAATTTACAAAATTTTTATATGAAATTTTGAAGACCATATAAGTAAAGATTCTTTTATATTATTTGTGAAATTTTGCCCGATTATGTCGTCAAATATTTCTTCTGTGCAACAAGTCCGCGTAATTTTTGAACGGCCCTCGTACATGTATTATTTGCAAATTTTAGATCTACTGACATTGGACTGTTAATTAATAATCAAAATGAATTCAGTGAACCAATAGAATGATAATGAATTGACTATACACTGTAATGAAAAAAGGGAAAAGAGACATGCAGACATCTACAACGAACTTTTCAACAGAATTTTGTTTAAAAAATAAAATGGATGTCAGCCATGCCCCCGCCCCGGAATACTATATTGACCCGTAATCAGTCCAATATCTAACTGTTCAGAACCATATCCGAGTCAGGAGACGGGATCATATATAGCTTCAAGCGAATTTGTTTTCATATATATTCAATATATACACAAATTAAAATAATGCTATAAACTATATGCAAATAATAATTTAACATACCGCAGAAAGGACACCAATAAATTCCAAATGACAATCAAAACTTGCATTTTCAATCAACCGGTAATTATAATTTTATAAGAAAAATAATAAATGTAGCAGAAAAAAAATTGAAACAGAACGACAAGTTGTTTGTAGGACGAGGTTTATAAATAATATGAAGAGGACGTGTGCTGAAAACGGAAAATAGGCTGTTATACACGGAAATAAATACAATATTGTATCTGATCTACTTAATATATGTCAAGAGGTTAATCATAATATCATACATAACTTCAGATGTTCATCTGCACCCGAGGACGCTTCTGAATTTTTTTTACGCCAAGGTACCCTTTTTTTTCCAAATCTAATTAAGTCATGCAATCATGCTCTTGATTACAGATAAATTAGGATATTAACGAAGATTATGACGGCTTCTGAAAAATGCAAAAAAAAAAAAAATAAAATAATAAAATTAAACTCCATTTTGTTTAGTACTAAAGAACTAAAGGACAACATTTTGTTTTGTACTAAAGGACAATTTGTTTCAGTGATTAAGTTAATTTTCAAATGCAACTGAAATGGCGAACCTACCTGATAGACAGACACTTGAAGATTAGGTAATTTTACATTAACAGTTATGCATGCGCAACGAGCACAGTTTTTTTTTATCCACCAGCTGTTCTACCCACAAAACTAATCTATCCTTCGACCACTTTATCCAATGGAAGCTCGGTATGTTTTTATGGCATGAGACAATCAATGAAATGTGTGTAAATTACCCTTCTCTTGACAAGAGTTTATTCAAGTGTTTCCTGCTAGAGGGAAAATCTAGTTAGATATCTCTCTTTCTCTCTCTCTCTCTCTCGCTCTCTCTCTCTCTCTCTCTCTCTCGGTATAACATGCATAATGTACCTAACTATAATGTACATCCACAGAGCCCGGTAACATACTGTTTTTGATTTTACGTAATCACTATATATATATACAAAAAAGGACTTTTTGTATACATACAGTGATTACGTAAAATCAAATACAGTATGTTACAGGCCCCTGTGCGTACATCCATCACTCGATGGGTATTATTGATGATATCAGGCTCGAAACATAGGGGGGGGGGGTGAGACACTGACCCCAACTTCTTTTCCACAAATTACATATTACTATCGAAAATGTACGTTGAAAGCCTGGTTTCCCACTTTTTGTTGCAGTAAAGTCAAGTAAGGGTAATGCAATAATGCATGAAATGGTATTGAAAGAAGTTCGCCTAACACCATCCCCCCATTTTTTATGAAATATAATTTTTCTTTTGACATATTTCCCCCTTTTTTTTTTTTTTTTTTTTGCTTGTCAGCTTTTTAAGGTGATTTGATTTTTTTCTCGATCTAGCTGCCCCTTCAACTTTCAATAACGCCGATGGATATCGCACATTTCCTTGAATAATTGTGAGCAGCTGAAAAAGCATGGATATTTAGTGTGATGCAATGATAAACGCTTACTTAAGTGGATCTGAAGGCTAAAAATTAAAACTGTACATTCAAAAAGCGGTCATAGATTTTATCCTACAACTACCCCCTGCATTGACCTAATAAAGGTAACCTAATAAACCAAAGCTTTATCCGGTCACTGCCCCAATAAAGCCTCGTGCCTATATTCAGACGTTCTAAAAGCATTGTAACGTCACGTATACTGCAATGTTTACGCCATGGCGTCATAGTTTCAACTGCAGAGACGTGCTTAAATCTGTCGAAAATAGCTAGTTTTGGACGTTCAAATGGTAAAAAATATGCTGCACGATAAAAAAATACATGATAACTGTCTTGAAATATAAGCGATATTTGGGCTCGGGTCGAAAACGTAAGAGGGCTCTGCAAGCCTCGCCCTCTATCACGTTTTCTTACCCTCACCCAAATATCGCTTATATTTCAAGACAGTAACCATGTATTTTATATTTCTACACCATATACATGTACATGTACATATGCATACACATCGTTTCTAGACAAGGGAAACGCTTATTAAAAAAAATTATTTTCTACTAAGGCGAGGTTTTTGGGGTACTCCAATTTTTTTTTATCTACTATTCATTAAAAATTATTAAACCTTTCATAAATCGTGAAACTATATTTATCAGATCGTTAACTATAGTTAACGGTTTGTAAACTATAGTTTACAAATCGTGAAACTGTATTTATCAGATAATCTATGTTTTGCAATCGCAAATGATAGTTTTCGGTGTTAAGTATAGTTTACGGTTGTGAAACATAGATTATCGCGTTAACTATAGTTTACAGATGTAAAATATAGATTAACGTTGTTAACTATAGTTTACAGTCCGTAAACTATAGTTTACAACCGATAAACCTAGTTTATCGATTGTGAAACTATGATTTACTCATTTTTGTGAATTTGGCGTGCCATAACTATGATTAACAACTC